GGAGACAGACAGGCAGAAATGGATAAACTGATCCACCTGGCAAGTTTTCAAACATCTGTACTCTGAAAACACTATGTCTATACACACAGTATGTTCGTATGTAGAAAGACCTCACAAACTACAAGAAAGCAGAATTCTGTGTCATTTAGATGGAAACTTTTAATATTTAAGGTTAACCTCCAGACCAGTGATTCTGAACCAGTGGGTTGTGACCCCTTTGGCAAACCTCTATCTTCAAAAGTATTTATATTACAATTCATAACAGTAGCAAAATTACAGTTATAAAGTACCAACGTAAATAATTAGATGGTTGTGGGATCATCCCCCCACTATGAAGAACCGTATTAAAGGAAGGTTGAGCACCACTGCTCTAGGCCATTTCAATAGTACTCAATGTAATGAATCGCCTAGAGCTACGCAGCCAATCTTCTAGCAAACAAGAACATGTCATCACTTCCAATTAGACGCTGCCATCTCCATCAACTGCAAGTGTAGACACTGGCCTTACAACTAAAGAGAACGTAAAAGCTTCGCCACACACCTTTTCTGACACACATTATGCTCATTCATCTTATGTCATTTTGCTTTCAAAACTTTTCTTCTTCTGATTAAAAAATCAAGTAAGTGACTCTCATGTCAGGAAGCAGCTGCTCAGTTAAAATTTCAGATCATCTTAGCACAGCCACATTATTTATTTGACTAACAAAGGCAGATCCTTTGTTTAATTTGATTGATTCACACAGGGCCTCTCACTGTAGCCCCAAATAGCCTCAAACTTGCAACCTTCCTGTCTCAGTCTCCCAACTACTGGGATTAGAACCGTTCCGTGCTATACTCTACTTTTGATTGACTAAGGAGTTTTCAGATTTTATATGCAGGCTCCAGATTTTGAGTGTTCTTTCCTAGTCACAATTTTGAAAGATTGGTTGGTTTTTTTTATCAGTTTTTAAAATCATGGGTTTTTATGGGATCCGTGTGTGTGTGTGTGTGTGTGTGTGTGTGTGTGTGTGTGTGTGTGTGTGTGTGTGTTTGTCTGCCTGTCTATCTGTCTGTCTGTATGTCTGTCTGTGTCTGTGTGTCTGTGTCTGTATGTGTTTCTTGTGCTTTTCTTTGGCTCTTTTCTTCCTGTTTGAATGTTTGTTTTGCCCTATTCTGGTTTGTTTGGTGGTTGGTTTGTCTTCTCTTATTTTTATTCTTCTTCTTTAGCTGCCTGTTTGTTTTCTGAGACAGAAGAAGTGTGGATTCAGATGGGAGGGGATGCAGGGAGGATCTAAGAGGAGTTGGCGGGGAGGGGGGGGGGGACCCTAATTGGAATATACTGTATTTAAAAACCATCTATTTTCAATAAAAGAAATATCGAGGAAAAAAACCAAAAAGAAAAAAATCTATGTTGAACAAAGCACACTGAAATTTCAGATATATAAACACAGAGAGTTCTCTGCTATATATAAGTACATGGAAAAATCACTACACTGAGCCCCACTCAACAGAAAACTGCAAAGTCTATGACATCCCTGAATTCTAAGTCAGATGATTTCATCCCATTGATTCAAACTCCCCAGTTTCTATGTTCAGTCTAACATGAAGCCACACTGAGCACTATACCCTATCTGACCACTTTCCTCACGGAGTGACAACTGACCATCATTTTATATCTTCCTACATTCTGCTGGGCTGTTATTTAAATTGCTCTCAACTGCACAGTGAGAGTTCTAAAATTATCAAAGAACATGAGCCTTCTCATCCCTAGTAAGATTTTCTATTTTCTCCTAAAATTATTAGTTATGCTTTTCATTTCATATGTACTCAAAAAATCCATCACTCATGTGTTTTTAATCACTCCTTTCCAACCAATAAAAATGATGATAAATTGGCCTGAGTTATCAGATGTTTATTAGCCAAGTATTCACAAGCTCACAAATCCCATTTTGTCATACCAAAGTCACTTTGCTTCTAGTTCAAAGAGTACCCATGTCTCCCTGGGTACTTCTGTAATGCAGATTCCTCCACGACTCCAGACACACCACATCCACATGCACCACAGTATGCAGACCACTGCTGGCACATACGCTTTCTCTTCATCTCAAAGACGAATGGAGTGACCACGTCAGATGTTTGAAACAAAGATATCCAACTAAACTGCACTTAAATTTCCTTTGAAATTTGACGTCTGCCACCCATTTACCTTGGTGTCCCTTTCCTGTGCTTTGTAAGTCACTTTGGTCTTTTGACATTTCCTACACATCTCAGGACCTGGGAGAACCCTTATATCCCTCTGCTCCTAATAGATGACCAGGTCCTTCCTAACAATCAATCCAGCTACCAAGTGTGCTAGTTAGTTAATTATAAGTTTCTTTGCATGGTCACAGCCTTGGAGCAGACACCTCAGTTCACAGTGCAGCAGTGTGAGTATTCATGCATACAAAACATTCTCTGTTGTTACCCGGCAGCCCCAAGGAGCTACCAGGACTAAACCAGAAGCTGAATGCCTTGAAAAAAAACCTCTTTGTCTTCTTCCTGTTGGAGAGACACCTGGTGACAGTGAGTTTGCAGGATTTCTTGGGAGCTTGAGAGTGCTGTTTAAAAAAAGTTGGGGTGCTTTCTCTCAACTCTTATTTTAATAGATGTAGGAAAAATTCCCCAATGTTTTCTGATGCCAAAATTGTGCTAGTAGTCAGAACAGCCTATCACTTGTTATTTAGGAGAAACCCCCCTTCCTAATGTAGTCAGCGTTTAAAGAGATATGAACGTCTACACTACGTTTCCCCCCACTTTCTAAAAGGCACCTTTGCTTTTTTTCTATTTAAGCAGAAATAAACCCCAGTGCATAGACAGCAGGTAAGCTGCATCAGAGAGAAGTTTAAGAATAAAAACCACAGAAGAATATCTAAACCCTGAAACTCGAGTGTAAATTGTACAGCGTCCTAAGACTACACTTCATATAGGTAGGTAGGCATAAGTGAACTATCTATCACTAGATACCATGAAGGCTTAAGATAATGATTATATCAAACAATTCAAGACGTAAGTATTCTGTAGTATATTTAATGCTATCTAATTGATGAGTTATACTATAGACTGGACTAGTTTCCCAGAAGTAATATTGACACATTCATTCTCGTATCTATTTCCTATGGCATATGGACATAGTTTATTATACAAGTAAAGTTTTCAGGGGGTAGTACATTTAATCTATACTTTTTGAGTTTTCTGGTAGAGATCTCACACACTTAAGAGGGGGAAGAAACAGGATGGAGATAATTGGAGATTTTTTTGTAATAAAAAATAGAAACCTTCTAAGCTGATCCTCACTGCTGAGGGCTGAAATTTTATAAGTGACTTGCCTGTGACCATAGCACTTACTAATATGGACCCAGGGTACCAGGCTGGGACCTTCATGATCCAGTTCCCAAAAAAGTCAAGTTTGAAAATAATGCACTCATTAAAGAAACAGCATTTATTCCTGTCGATATCATTTAAGGGAAGCAGGAAAAAGGTTCCTTTTAGGCTCCTTGGAAAGACCCGGCAGTGGGCTGTCAGAGCCACATGCCCACACCAAGGGCCCTGTCTGTTAGTCACAATCAGCCTTAGCGGGAGTGAAAAAGAGGGCTTTGAAGACAGCATTTGCCTCCAATAAAAACAGCATTCTCTTCTGGCCCAGTGACCCCCTCTCCTCCGTCTCCAACGAAACACAATGAAGTTTTGTCCATTTGGGCTCCCTGGGGCCACAATGTCTTAAGATCTGTTTTCTCCTCCTTCCTTCAAACTATGCCTCACCTCAGCTCACTCACCCGCGTTTCCTACTCTTCCTTCAACCTTCCCAAGCCTAGTTCAAGTAACTTGCTTGCCGTGTGGGAGATTCACTATCCCATCATCCCTTGTTTAATAATACCCATTTATGGTGGTGTAAAGTCAAGTGGTGCTTCATGCTGCTCCAACCAAGAAGTGCAGAGGAACACAAAATTCCCAGGAAGACAGAAGACATCCTGTGATGTCAGGAAAAGGAAGCAAACATTGCCCCCTAGAGTGCCTGTCATTTCCAATGCAATTTTTAATTCTGAAATCATCAGCAGCTCCAATTTCCAGGAAATTAACCAAGTCCTTGCCTCAGAGCAGGTCGGCAGAGCCCCCTCGGCCGGCACGAGCGTTCCTTTATGAAGCCCCACTCGGCTTGGTGCGCTGCAAAGGAGCCCCTTTCACTCCGGCGGCTGCGGCGTCAGTTAAGTCAGGCAGGCTCCGAAAACTCACCTTGCCTCATTTCAGAAGAAAACACGGAATGCAGATCTGCTCTTGAGACTCTAAAGAGCTCACGTTGAGGGTTCCCTTATTCTCAGTAAATCTTAGTCCCAAAGTTCTGAATTTCTAAAATTTCATTTAAAAAAAACAAAACACCTTCCTTTCTTCTCACTCCTAGGACATAACTTTCTGGTAGCAAATAATGTACTTTACAGCTTATGGCAGCATCCCTCTGTGTCACCCCTCTGTATCACACGGAGCTTGTCAGCCTCATCCCTCTCCATCATTAAACAGTTACCTGTTCTCTCTGCAGTCAGCCTGGCTTTATTTATGAACAAAGGTTCTTGTTCTTTTTCAATATTCATAAATTTCAGGGTGCAAAAATGTAAAGTCAGTTATTAAGAAGTGACAGTCCAGTTTTCTGATTACAATAACACACCTGGGGGCTGGAGAGATGGCTCAGTGGTTAAGAGCACTGGCTGTTCCTCTAGGGGACCCAGGTTCAATTCCCAGCACCCTCATGGCGGCTCACAACTGTCCATAACTCCAGTTCCAGAGGATATGCATAGGCATGCATACAAAATATTCATACATATCAAATAAAATAAAACAAAAGAGCACACTTTACAGCTAAATTATAGACTAAATTAATTGTCCTTCAAGGTCATCTGAAAAATGAATGTCTGAAGGTGCTGACGTGGATTGCCTAGGTGCACTGTACTGTGAAAGAATCAGAAACGCTGCTAATAACTGCCCCCTCTTACCTGTGGGAGGTCCTTCATCCCATTCTGCCCTCTTGATCCTGCTTGCTGTGAATGCTAAGCAGATGTTGACGCCAATGGCAAAAGTGAACCAAGATATCACCTAAGGGAATAAAGAGATCACGTCAAGCACGGCTAGATTAAACGGGACTCAGAATTCATGGAAGCAGTTCAGATGAGCACAGCCACCCCAGCCCTGCCGATTCCGAAAGGCATTCTCAGATGATGTCTGGATTTGAACAAGGAGAGAGAAAAAAAAAAAAAAATCAAATTCAAATGGAAGTGATTTCGGAAGACCGAGCTGTTCGCTTGTCGGTGCATCCTCCGCCTACCTGGTATGACCCGAAAGAGCCTTTTCTTGCCATGCCGAGGGATTCTTGGAAAGCCTCTGCAGGGTGTTCTCTGCGTGCCCTGACTGCACTGTGTTCGTTCGGGGCTCTGAGTTCAGTCTATTAACTCCAAGCAATCCCACCTGGGAAGTTGACAGGCGCCTCTGATTCGTCCAGAGCTAGATTTCATCACCGCTGGTTCACAAATTGCAACTCTGGGCATAAGAAGCTTAAGGCAACATCCTTCTTGGCCCCACCCCCCGGCCGGCCCCTCCCCTCACACAGACACTTTCATGTGGTATCCTTTGGCAACAGAGGGATTTCTTATGTAGCCGTGGCCAATAACAGTGCATGTTCGGTTTCTTTCCTCACAAATACATGGTTTGTCAAAAGAGAAACCAAATGTATTTTATCCGATAAAAATGAAACAGAACTGCCCGGAACTTCCCAACAGCTCGAAGTTTTTGCTATGTAATTATTCCAGGTCTTCAATTCCACAACTTCAGGGCTTTTTTTTTTTTTTAACAAGAAAAAAAAAATTACAATCTGTAAACCAAATAAATCTCTCTGTCCTTCCCATTTGTTTATTTTTCTAGCAGTTGGAATGACCCTGTCTCTATATAACTACACCCTCAGCTACTTCTGATTCCTTGGGAGCTTCTCCCAATGGAATCTTCCAAAACTGCAACTCACACAAGAGATAGCATTATCTCCCTCCATGTTGTTAAATTTGACAGAAGTAACTTTTATCAAAATACTGGGACTGCCCGCTTAGCTGCATAAAGTCCTTCTTCTTCGTGTGAGGAAAGACAACATCATTCCAGTCTCTACCCATCCCTGACAAAGGTTAGCTTGTTTGTGGGGTAGGGGGTGGGGGTAAGAAGCGGGAGTAAGAGACAGTAGGGGGAAGCTTGAGCAGCCTTGAATTTAGCTTGGAAACGTCAATGGCTGCAAGGACTCCTGTTAAATGCTCATCTAGTTTGAAGAGGCTGTGTCCTGTGAGGTTGTTGTGTGTGTGCTGAAGCTTCTAACCTTAGTAAGTTAGCAACTTGGCAACCACACCAAATTTGGAAGTCTCTAAATTGGAAAGCCGTTTACATGTTATATGCTTTTAGGATTCAAATGAGGGAAGGGTTGTTTTGGACTTTTCCCTGCCAGGCCCCTTGACCATCATTCTTGCAGAGCACATATGTGCATACGTAAACAAACAGGAACCTTCCAGGCAGCCACTGCTCAAGGAGCCCCCATGGCTCTGCTCGCATAAAAACCTGATAGCACAAAAGCCAAGAGCTTGTTTACGTGGATTGCAGGGTAAGCCTGGGTTTCATTATAAACTCCAGAATTTAGTAAACAGCTCATTGAAGAGAAGAAAAGACACTGCCAGACATTCAGCTGTCCTTCTCGATCCTCTCAGCTTTGCGCTCTCGAAGAGGGGGCAGGCTATGAATTTATCTACAAGCCTCTTGCTTTAGTCTGTATGCCAAGCTAAACTGATCTGGAGTTGATTATTTAGCAAGGCTTCTAAAAGATGTTAACCCGTGTAAGATGTTGCTCCGTTTATATTCAATCTCAAGATGCAAACCTGCTGTTCGGTGGGAGAATCTGTAAACCGAAAGGAAATCATCAAGTCCACACGGTTATTTCATTGTAGGCTGCATGCTCCAGAGGGTCTGAAAAACAGCCTCCTTTTTTTCCCTCTAGCCTCCCCAGGCCTCCAGATCCCGGCAACTTGAGACTTTCTCTGACATTTGATTATAGAAACCCATCTCTAGGTCATTGTAGGCTCTCCTTGTGTGTGTGTGGGGGGGGGGGGGGGGGGGGGGGGGATTGCAGCTCAGAAACCGAATATCAGTTCTCACTTTATTGTTTTATTTCATGGCATGCAAACTAGCTGTGCAGGAGAAAGAGGCCACAAAGTGTGACAGCAAGTTGATACACGTCCATGTGTGAGTCTGTGCAGCACTGGATTACCCACGTATCCAAAGGGATCAAGAACAGCCACTGTTAAAAGTCAACTCTTAACACTGTTAAGAGTTCTGCCAAAGAACCGCATCTTCACCTGGCCATTGTGTGTCACAGACTTGTTAATACATACACACATAGGCACACACATACCTACATATGCATATACATGCATATACGCGATGACACATATGCATGCATACATACACACAAACACATGCATATACACACAAACACATGTGCACATACACATATGCACACATCCCTGCACATATATAAGAACATACATGCTTGCATAAACACACACACACACAAATATACACACCATCTAGCTACAGTTAAGCAAATTATGCTGTGTTTTAGATTGCACATGTATGTGAGGGTACATGTACTCTCCATGTGTGGAGGCCAGAGGAGGGCTTTTAGTATCCTGCTCTATTATTGTGCCCTTTATTCCCTGGAGATAGGGTGTCTCATTGAAGTCAGGACCAGGCTGACAGCCAGAAATCCCCACCAGTCCTTATGTCTCCACTCCCAACAGGGCTTGAAGGGCAAGACACAAGGCAAGCAGATTTTCACTACAAGGTAATCATTATAGATTAAGTGTCGGGGGTGGGTAGTCAAAGTCCCTACTTTGGCAACAAATCAACAGTAAAATACAATTACCCTTCATTATCTCAAACAGAGGAAACCCAAACACCCGGTAGTGTACAAAATAGGTAAAAAAAAAAAAAAAAAATCACCTGAAATAACTGAACTACAGCACAAAATCTTCCATAAGAAAGTTCACCTGCTGTGGTGTTTAAGATTTTGGTAAAAAGACATCCGTGCCTGGCTGACTCAGTACAGCACAAAGAGTTCAGAAAGGGGGCTTTTAAACTTAGCGTCCAGTGTGGTTTATTAACCCAGCCATATTTCAGAGAACACTGCCCTCTGGCAGAGAAAAACCTAACACTGTAAACATCTTTTAACCATCTCAGCCTCAAAAATCACTCTGGTTTTCCAACTCTATTACCCACAAGGATCCCCTGAGGGCAGATATTAAAATGTGATATTTATGCCTTACCCCCAGAGATTCTGCTCCACTAGATCTAGGGGGTAGAGAGAAGAAAGGGAGATTTTAGGGGACAGACAAGAAGGGCTCAATCAGTCATTCTGATGCAAGCCATACAAGGACCACATCCGAATAACATTAAAATAAATGACCGTGACTTAATCTACCAATACCCCACTTGTTGAATGACTTGGTCTAACTCATAGTGTAATTTTTAATCTATTAGTGATAGTGTCCAATGTTCATTGGATTTTAAGTTTCAATCTCTTTGTAGCAAGCTGGGGTGCTCCAGCAGGGGGATCATCTTGATGCTGTGAGCTGCAGAGCAGTGATTTATTTACTCTGCTGTTTATACAAAGCTGCAGTGTGTCGCTTGATTGCAATATAGCAGTTGCATTTATATAAAGGCACAGTCTATCTTTTCATGAAAGTAGTCTATGGATCCTTGTTCACAAGCCCTGATCAGGATAAGGCTTGAGGTGACCAATGAGATTTGAAAACTAGGTGATCGACACTTGCCATTCTCTCTCCCAATTATGAAACTGTCAGGAACTCACCAAAATTTTGTCTAAATCCTGTTTCTCATTATGCTTGACTTGACGTGGCTTAGTATTATTCCAACTGTAACTCCAACAAAACACCATGAACATTAGAAAATGGCCCCCATATGTATTTCCCCTAATCTAGTTGAAAAGTCATTATGTCTTTCTTGTCTTTAAATTCCGTTTTGGCTGAGGACTACTAGAAAGTCCAGAATTTATAAAATGAACAACAGTCTTTGTTTCCCAACCTAATGGGTAGAATGTTTTGACAGCTAAAAGAATAATAAGCTGGCTCATTGCTTCCACAATTCTGGACTGCAGATGGGACTTCAGATGCTAAACCACAAAGGCAAGGTTTCATGGGTAATATATGTTCCCAGGATTTAGCCAGTTGAGAAATAGCAGATTTCAGTTCAAATGCCAAGAGGGCTTGTTCTCCTAATTATCACACAATTGAAAGCTGAAATTAATACTGCCATGTTTTCCAGTGGGTTTAACTTATGTTGTAACTGTCTATATATTAAATTTGCTACCCACAGAAACTAACAAGAATCCCACACCAAAATAATCTGTGAATAACTATTCATCATTCAGATATTTATTAGCTTCTATGTGTACTAAAAGTTGTTCTGGATAATAGGAAGCCGAACTAGACATCATCCATGCCTTCCACATTCAACTAGACGCAAAGGTAACTGTAAAATGGAAACTGTGGTAAGTGTAGACATGTAGAGATCAGTGGTGTTTTGAGAAGACAGAATTCAGGTTCGACCTAATTGGGAGGGTTTGCGGAAGACTTTGTAGAGTCAATTGGGCTGTGATTTGAAGGGTGGGTGGGAATAACTGCATTCAGACAGGAGAAAGAATTCTAGACAGAGAGACCAGAAAGTGCAAACAGTTTCTGTAGGTTGAAGGTGAAATTCATGATGTCCAAAAATCAGCCAGCTTGAGTGAGGTTGGGAGCACAGGAGGATGCAGAGGTTAAGAGAGGCCAAGCATGTGGTTTTTCAAAGGTAACTTTAATGGCATTATCGTTATCCTTAAAGCAATGGAAAACCTTTAGAAGAAAGCTTAGGAAGGTAGAGGTTTAATCAGATTTTAAAGCTAATCTCTTTGTAGTGTGGATACAATTTGCAAGGAATAGAGAATGGATACAGTTGTTGGGCTTAAAAAAAAAAACAAAAAACGATGGCGCCCAGCTTGCCCCAGGGAGGTTCTCGTTGATGTAGACAGAAAGAAAAGACTGTGGGTGTTGAGTGAGGCTTTTGAGTTAATGAATACTTATCAATTACCATGACCACAGCTGGTACCATCTCAGCAAAGTTACTTCTGGTATTTTAATTAAATATGTAAACATATTTGAATGTATACTTACACCCACACATATACAAAAACATACGTATGGCTGAGGAGATGGCTCAGTGGGAAATCATGTGTAAGGAACAGAGTTTGGAGACCCGTGTAAAAAGCTGGACTTAGCGATGTGTCTTCAATTGCAATGTTCCTCGTGGGACAGGAGTAGAGAAAGGAGAATCCCCAGAAACTCGTGAGATGGCCTTGGTATGCAGCAGGAAACAAAAAAGAGACCCTGCCTCAACACCCAAAGTTGTCCTCTGACCTCCACCCATAGACCTTGACAAATGTGTATCCACACTCACACCCATGAACA